AAGGGGAAAAATTTGGGGTCGTGTGTCCTTCTCTCTTTTCTTTTTAAAATTTAACATTATTTTGTATGCAAATGTGTTTTAGATAACAAATATATATTATTAATTATTTAACCTTAGCTTCACCATGTGTTACATATTTTTTAAAAAAAGAAAAGTCTGGATGTACTTAATTAAATAAATTGATAACTATTTGTGCGAGTAAAAAAATCATTAAAAATAACTAAAAAAATAAAATATTAAAAGATAATTGTAGACCAAGATATTTGATCAGCAAAAACACCTAATTAAATAAATCGATAATTATCTATATAAATAAACAAAAAGAAAGTTGTTAACAATAATTAAAGAAAAACTAGAAAAATTGAGAGATAATTGTAGACTAGGATATTTGGTCCGCAACATAGAACACTTATCCAGATATGTTCACTAATTTTTTTATTAAAAATATTTTTTTATTAAATCAAATGATAATAAAAATAAACACACATGGAAATAATTAAATAAAAGAAAAGGAAAAAAATCATGTGAGGTTTTATATATTAGAAATATTATCTAAAAATAAAAGTTCATCCATATAAAACCAAAAAAGAAAAATTATAAATGAATAAAAATAATATCTTCAAAAATTAAATACACATAAAACAATTTAAAATAAAAAACATATATTCAAAAAAGACTTGCAAAACTCATGGCTAAACCAATAGAAAATGAATTGAACATAACCACAAAACTATTTTTTTAAAATAATATCAAATAATACAATTAGAAAAGAAAAAAAAATGATGTTGATCTACATTAATTTTCTGAACATGTGACTCAAGTCATTAGACTATAAGCACAAAAAATTAAAAAATTATGAAATTTGATCTCTGGTAAATCAAACGTTAAAGGATAAAATAAATAAAAAATCAACTGTATAAAAGGATCTAAAGCAAAAAATTATAATTAACACAATGAGGGTGAAAATCAAAATAAAACATAAATGAGAGGGTAGTAAAAAGAAATATTGAAGAGTTAAATTAAAAAGAAAATTAAATTTAATAAAAGCAAAAACAAATCAAAAGAATAATGGTTAAATTGAAAAAAAAATACACAATAGATTTTGATTTAATAATGAATTTAAAAATTAATAAAACTTTAACAAGAGAACTAAGGAAAAGAATTAAGAGAATAAGGACAAAATTAAAAAAATTACATATAAAAAAATATGATTAAATGACTAAATTAAAAACAAGCAAAAATTTTATAAAAGAATTGATTAGTATTTAAAAGTATATTTTTATTAAGGTTTTATATCATCATTTTGCACTTGAAGTATCAATAACTTCTTAACTAAAACATGTTTTATAATAACAAGTTTGATACCATAAGATATTTTTAATTTATGGTAAATGTTCATCCTAAATCTAGGTCTATCACATAAATAAAAGGATTGATTGATACGTTGAAGTATTAAAATTGAAAAACCAAAGAGAAAGCCTAACTTATAAAAGAGATGCTGGTGCAATCCAAACTGGAACATTGTTCTATAATTGGGTTATATCTAGAACTGTAGATCTCATATTTAAGTCCGCTTTATATGGATAGAAAGCTAAAACATAGGCCTAAAACTTTCATGGAAAGTCAAGACTCAATTTTGCTGTTTAGAAATCCAAATCTTAATAACAACGTAGAAGCCTGTATATGTCTTGCAATCAAGACATTGTTCAGTGTTCAGTCTATATTTCGAGTTTTAAAAGTCCAAATGACCTTAATTTTTTTCTCTTGAAAAGTTGAGACAATTTTCTAAAATTTTCATGTGAGTTTGGTTCAAATTCTAACGTTATTAATGACGTTTTATTCAAATAAGAAGATAAGGATTGTCATCAAGTCAAGATGTGGTCACCCACTTAACAATTAATCATCAAATCAATAGTTTCAAATTTTGACCTATAAAAGAAAGCATTTGTCATGCATTTAGGTATCTTGATTTCCATATCAAGATCATACTCTTGCTTTCTTTTTGTATTTTTGTAATGCTTAAGATTTTTTTCATTAATATCTTATTTATGCCTTTTATTTCCTTTCCTTTCATGTTAACCATTTATAATTTGATTGGATCCTTTTTTATGTGTGGTTTTCCAGTTGAATAATAAGAGTTTATACTATACTTGTTTGAAATACCATTAGTGAATCCTCTAACCTTGACATTTATTGTTATCATTATTTAATACTCACATTGATCTTTCATTTTAAAGTTCTCATTAACTTTTTATTCTTTTTATTTTTATTTTTATTATTGTTATTGTTGTTGTTGTTGTTCTATTATTATACTTTATAATTTATACAATTAACTTTTTTGTGATTCGACCCCGATTTTACTGGGTTATTTATTATCTCAACACTCCTACATTTGAAAAAAGATATTAATCTTTTAATTATATCAAGAATTAAAAAAATTAAAATTAAATACCATAAATAAAGAAGACTAAGGAATATTTTATAAGGCATAAAAGAGAAAAGAAAAGAAAAGAATTATTAACAACAAATCATTTATAAACCATCCATCATACGAGGAGGAAAAATACAAAACATGCAATACCCAAAAGGTACGAGTGTAAACCCAAAACACCGAAGTACCCTCCTCGAAGGTATCTTGTTTTTTTCTTCGTAGGACACAAGCATAATTTAACTACCATAATGAAAAGTATTTTATATATGTGTGCACGATGATTTCTACGGTATTTTTGCTATGCTATTTATTGTTCTGTTAATTTATATTTTTACAATAACACTTCATTTATATTTTGATTTAACATTTTTAGGGGCATCCTATTATCCACGATATTTTCAATTCTCACCGAATATCTTTAACACTTCACTCCTTGACAACTTTTACACTCTTTAACACTTTATTTGTACATCTAAACACACGAAGGAGGAGTGAGCTCGTCAAAGAACAAACTTACAACAAGAAAATCATTAACAGATATCTAGAAAACACACTTCATTGAAAAAAAAACAAAACAATTTTCTCTCGAGAAATAATAAAGCAATATATTCCACTACAGAAGTCACGAAATTTCTCTCGCACCTATTATCTTCGGAAGAAATGTACATTTCGAGAGCGTAAGATCGGCCGAGGAACCAGTTCTTTGTACTGATTTTGTCATTCCAGTCAACAATAATAGAAACTTCAATGTTAATGTTAATATTTATCTCAGTCAACTTGTAGGTGCTTACCATATTATATCTCGGGCTTAAGTGGACCGATAATGCTATTCAATTTCTTATCCAGTTGGTGGATACCTCTTTTAAATTTCCTAAACAGTTGGCGGTAAAATCCAAACCATATACTTTTGATTTTTAAGGTTGTTGCCATCGCCGCTGGTTTATCATTAAAAATGAGACTGCGACAGTTGGTTTTTCCTTCTTCGTTGCACGATGTGTCCGGAAGGCTAAAACAAATATTTAAATAAATTTTATAAATAACATGGGGATAAAAATAGAAAAACCTTTAGGCTATGTATGATATATATATTTTTTAATAACGTGTGTCAGGAATATTTTATGTATTTTTTAACTAAGTCTTCAAATTCTAAGATTAATAATAAGATAAATTCCTAGTAATACTGAAATTTATAATATTTAAACTAATAATTTTTAAAAAATAAATTTAAAAATTAACCAATTACACTTTTTAAAGAAATTTAATTAAGATTTTTTTGATAGTATGCTATAATTGTATTTTTGAAAAGTTAAAAATTCTTATTTTAGTATAAAACTAATTTTTTATATATTTTGAATTATTTTAATATTTTGATGTTTAAAATAAAATTTTAAAATAAAATATTATTTTACTTTACTTCTAAAAAAGAAAAAAAAAACACTTAATCCAAATGTCCTGGACATCTCACCTCCAATCTTTCTAACCATCAAAACAATGCTGCTTTGTCGCAAATTTACGGTCTTTTTTATTCTTAAAAAAATTCAACATAACATAGATTTGTTTTTCTCTCTCTCATTCATTTCATACGAGAAAAAAATAACAAAAGGAGTAATGTTAAATATAAACTTTAATGTGTATGAAACTTAATTATAGAAATCTGACGTCAATAAAATTATAAAAAACGATGGGAATTAACTTCACGGACGTTTTACATTGATGAAATCCAAAATGGAACAGAGGAGTCACATTCGACATGTCATCAGTTCATGACTGTGTTTTTGCTTTCCAATACTTATCGAGAACAACTGTAATTTCAGTTTCCAAAGACACCCTCTTTGCATGTCCCGAGTAATAATCACTGAAAAGCCGTTTAAGATTACTATAAATATATTGTTATTTATTTATTTTTATTTTAAAATATATTAAAATCATATTTATTTATTTTAAACATTACCATATCAAAACAATTTAAAAATATAAAAATAAATAAAAACAAAAAATTAAATTTTAATAAAAACTATATATATAACTAACTCAGTTTCAAATCACAATGTATCAACCTAATATAAATTAATACAAATTAATAAAAAAATTAAAAATTTTAAAATATTTCAACTATAATAAATAAATTAATTCAAGTTAATCTTTTTTAAACTCGACTTGGGCTGAGGGGATATTCAGGTTTTAAGCTAACCTATAAACTAAGTGGGGTTTAATATATAAAATTAGGTAATGTTTGAAATACAATTGAAATTATGTTTTTTAAAATTTTAAATTTTTTAAATTTAAAAAATATTTTTTTATATTTCACTTGTTTTGATATATTAATATAAAAAATAATTTTAAAAAATAAAAAAATATTTTATTATATTTCAAAACAAAAAATAACAGCTACCATAATTTTATTTTATTGATCAATTAAAAAAACACTGTGCATAATCATATGATACAAAGTTACAAACTCCACGAGGTACTTGGAAAAAAGAGAGAGGAAAGGGACAAATCTGTCTGAAGAGGGTAAAGTAGTAAATAGACCATACGCCAGAGCTGCGCGTAGTTTTGAGGAGAATAACAGACAAGAGCCGGAGTGCGCGGTTTGGCCAAGTGGGGTTTATCGTATGCTTTCTTTTTCTAAGTTATCTGATTTGTCGTGGATTTTTTTTCGAGACAGAATTGTAAACACGGACGGGAGTTTTATTTTCTTGTTTGTTTGATGAGAATTGATTTCCGAGAAAATAACAGTAGTTAGCCTAAGCATGGGAAAGTTGTCTTTCAAGGATTCTCTCAAAGCTCTCGAAGCTGACATCCAGCACGCCAATACTCTGTACTCTCCGTCCCCCCTCTCTCTTCTATTTGATTTTAATTTTTTTTGGTAAGGTTTAACTTTTTGTAGGCGTAATTGTTTAATGCTTTCAATCTCTATTGCATTAGTGATGGGTATACCTTGCAATTTGGATACAACGTTGTTGTCTTTCTTCCGTTGAGAATAAACCAGATTAAGAAATTTTCGAATTATAAGAAAATGCAGTTAAGACGATTTTCGAATGTTATTTAATTGGTGAATTGACTTATGTTCTTAAAGTTGGATTTAAAGGGACTGTGTTTCAACGAGAAAACAAATGTTTTTTTCTTCTTCCAGTTTTCTCTTGTGAAAATCCTATAAACTTACGACCAGTCATGTTTAAAACAGAAGAATATGATTATTTTTTTCTGGGAAATTGATGTTTCACTTTTTGTAGCCTAATAATTTTTTTTCTTTTATAATTATAATGATTTTAAAACAAGTAGCCATCAATTATTATTATTAGAAGAAGATGCATCTAAGTTTGTATTTATTAAAGATGAAGTTTTCAGTCTCTTGTGTTTCTTTTCTCTCTAGCAAAATGCGGCCTGCTATTCAATTCTTTGATCGATATTAGTTATATTGATTTTAGTTCTTGTCTTTAAGCTAGTTTGTTCAGTAGAAACCTTAAGATTGGCAAAGCAGGCACGTTACTGCTTGTTGATTCAGAGTGTCTAGAAAGAAACCACTGTTTTTGATTCTGTAAGAACGTAAATTTTAAAAAAACTTGTAGTCATAAATTCAACCCTGGCCATACTGTTACTGTGGTTTTCGACATTTACTGCATCATCTCTTAGATTTAGACCTGATTTTTTGTAAGGGCTTATTTGCATAGAACGTGCTAATCTTAATTGGAGAGCAATGTTGATTGTTATTGGTCTAAACAATTTCCTGTCTTTGATCATTTCTCTCATTTTTTCATGCAAGGGAAGAATGAGAGAACAAGTTTTATTGTTGTGTGGCTTACATGCTATCCTGCTCATGCAGTGCTTTAGATCATCCGAGGGAGAATGATGGAGCTCGTCTTCAGATGCGACTATCATATAGCCCAGCAGCCCAAATTTTTCTCTTTCTCGTCCAGTGGACAGATTGTAACCTTGCTGGTACCCTTGGTTTGCTAAGAATTCTTATTTATCTTGTGCGTTCCTTTCCACGGTACTCATTTCAGTTTGCTTGTTATAGAATTGTTTGAGTTTTTGTCAGCATGCCCAGTTTATGCGCCCTTCCATTTTCGTTGCCTGGTTATTTATCTATTTAATTTGTCTATTGTGATTGTTCTTCGCTTCATCACCTTCAAAAATGTAGTAATAATATTACAACTTCTTGTTGGGGTGTGATGGTGTGGTGATTGGTGCAGACCTATGCAGATGGGAAAACCACTATGTCTGTTCAAGAAAGGAAAGCTAGCATTGGAGAATTTTATGGTGAGTGATACTCTGAGAAGGTTAAACTTTTTGAACTTTTTTCTCAGACCCTTAAATTTTGATGGAATCACATGCTCAGTTTGTAGAAGCAAATTTCGAGCTTACAAGTTTTGTTTTCTATGAACAGCGGTGATATTTCCTTCTTTGTTGCAACTTCAAGGAGGAATTACGGATGTGGAAGATAGGAAACAGAAAGAGGCATGCACTTTGAGATATAGAAGAAAGGATGAGTTGGGGGATAAGGGGAAACTCTCAGAATTTGACATAGAAAGGGAAGAAGAGTGTGGGATTTGCCTGGAGATGAACAGCAAGGTTGTATTGCCTAATTGCAGTCATTCTTTGTGTTTGAGGTGCTATCAGGATTGGTAAGCGTTCTGTCTTCTTTCTATGGGTCCCACACAATTTCTGTATATCTCATCTTTACTGCAACAAAAAGTAAATATATATGTGGATGTATCTTTAGTTTTTCCCCTGAAATTGAAGTTTGGACAATTAATTAATGCATCTGGTGATTGTTCTTCCTTTCACCTTCTTACAAAACTCACTTGTGAAACCTATCTAGCTCCACATTGATGTAAGAGTAGAGATCAGTACACCTGTGATGCTGAACAATTGCTCGCAAGTTTGTGGGCTTTTTAACTGGTCTTTTTTTGGGTCTATAAGAATCTCATGCCACCCTGTGATTCATCTTGCACAAGACAGAAGAATCCTTTTAACTTGTATAGAACCACCTGAGCTTGTTGCTTGATAAATGATCGTATTTTTCTACAGTTTTTTTTTTATAATCATGGACATCTTAGAAAAAGGGTCAATTTTATCACTTCACTGCACATAATTTTCTGTTGCACATGCATTCCCTGTTTGGAACTTTTGAACCATCTTAAAGCTGTTAGGCCAACCCTCCAGTCTCAGGAATGGAGGTCCTTGACTGGTCTACTACGTCTTTGAAGGGTTTGTTGGCCTATGTTTTCTTATTTTGAAGTGTCCTCACAGTATTAATGCTGTTGTGAGCCGATGTTTTCTTAGTCTTTCCCAGCTTTTATAGTGATTTAATATGTTGTTCTGTTTTCATCCCAGGCTCCGGCGGTCTCAATCGTGCCCCTTCTGTCGTGGTAGTCTTAAAAGGGTCAATTCTGGTGACCTTTGGATCTATACAGACAACGCTGATGTTGTTGATTTATCCTCGATTATGGTTCAGGATTGCAAGAGGCTATTCATGTACATCGATAAGTTGCCCCTTGTAGTTCCAGATCCTGTATATATGACCTATGATTCTCATTTGAAGTAGCTGATTATGCACTGGCGTGAGCATGACTGTACATGCATTCAACAGTAACTTTTGAAATGTAAATATCTTGTAATTACCTACTTTTACTGGTTCAAGACTAAGTTTTCAAAAACATAACTCAGGCTTGACTTTCATGGTGATTTTGTTAATAGTAAATGACGTCCTAGAAGTGGGGGCAACGTTTAGAGGCTGTGTGATGCTAATTTCGAAGGTTTTCTTTCATTTATATATAATAGTCGAAGGTTTTCTTTCATTTATATATAATAGAGAAAAGGTGAAACCTTCTTCTAGCTTAAATTCATTTTCCCTAATTTTTTTGATTAGGCCTCTTCTCTGTCTTCCCTTTTTTTTTTTTTTTTTATCTAAGGTTTTCCATGTTATTGTGATGCTCCAAAGCTAAATATAAAAAAGCATCGAAACTTTTGGATGTCACAGGTTTTCTTTAATTATATTGTCGTGGAATATTAACTTATAATATTCGCCGTAATTATTATCATTATTATTATTTCATTATAACCTTTAACTACTATTATTTATCATTTTATTATTAATATAATTATCATTTTATTATTAATCTACTATTATTACTATTATTATTATTGTCAATATCATCATTATTAACTATTATCCCATTAGAAACTTTATCTATCATCATTTATTATTATTTTTTGAATTAATATAACCATTATTTTATCATATCATAAACACCAATATTATCATCATTTTTTTTATTACCACTATCTTATTATAAAAATAATTACTATTTAATTATTATTACCACTATCACCATTATTATAATTCTATAATAATCATTAACCATCCTATTGCTATTAGTATCATATATATTATAAATAATAAATATCATTTATGCTATCACTATCATCTTTTTTTATTACATCTTTTTTATTATCATCATTTATAAATTATGAATAAGAAATAATCTATTTTATGAAAGAAATATTTTTTGCAAAACAAACTTACCTTAAAAAGTAATTATTTTTCCTTTAAATAATTCTCGGATTATGATGTAAAAAGGGAAATGGACCCACAAAACTACGTGGCCCAAAACCAAACCCAAACTTATGATCCCAAAAGGCTAGTCCATTCCTATGAGTCCCTATTGAACTCGCTTCTGAAGGGTTTAGTTGTTGATGCTAAATTCCATAAACCCCATGTTTCCTCGTCTTCCCAATTCCCTCGACAAAACCCTAGCTAGCTAGAATCAGAAATCAGTGGCCGCCATGGCAGAACAGAATCACAGTCGATCAGCAGAGGAGGAAGAGATGAAGAAGAGGAAACGTAAGCGAAACAGAGCAAAAAAAGAAGCACAAGAGAAAAATCTAAATGAAATCGAAGGAGGAGAAGAGAAGGAGCAGGAGGAGGAGGATAGGGAAGTTGAGGAGGTGAAAGATAAGAAGAAGAATAATAAAAATAAGAAGAGTAAGAAGGAAAGTGAAGAGGAAGAGAAAGAAAAAGAGGAGGAGGAGGAGGAGAAACAGACGGTGAAGAAGGTGAAAAGTGGAGGTGGGATTATGAGTACGGAGTCATTTGACTCGTTGGGATTATCCGAAGCCACTCGTAAGGCAATTCAAGAGATGGGATTTGCGAATTTGACTCAGGTATATTGTTTTCTTTTTAAGTTCTAACGAACAGCCTGATGTCATTACATAAGATATTTTATTACAACTTAAAGCTTTCCAAATTCTATGTGAGATTTTTTTAGCTTTGTAATGTTTCTTTGTCTAGATGGGACTTCTATATATAAAGATCTTCTTGCTCTCTGTCTAGAGGAAGGATATACTGTCCACTGTAATTTCCTAAGGATGTCTGCATTCTTTGCCCCTTTTGCGCATAAAAAGTTTCTTATATCTGATGTATCGTTGCAAATACAGATTCAAGCCAGGGCAATTCCACCACTCCTAGTAGGAAAAGATGTTCTTGGTGCTGCAAGGACAGGTTCTGGGAAAACTCTTGCGTTTCTAATACCAGCTGTAGAATTATTACATAATGTTCATTTTGCTCCTCGCAATGGAACGGGTGTTGTTGTTATTTGCCCAACAAGAGAACTTGCAATACAGGTAAAGAAATGTGTATAATCCTTATCCCGCAGACGCTTCCCTGTGAAGTATCATATTATTCCCTTTCAGATAGTATTGGTCAAACCAGGCTTTATTCCCTGTTATAAATCTTCAATTAGGAGGCCTGTAGAAATTATCTGTGAGCTAGGATTATTTATGGACTAGAAGTTGTTGCCTTCTTTTCTCTTCATTTCATTGTGAAAGCAGGCGTAGAAAAATGGAATTTACTGGTTTACATATCCCTTTCTGTAAAAAGATCTCTTTCCTTTGTACAACTTATACATTATGCTTGCTGATAAATTGTAATTGATGGTTGAGTTAATGCAAATGATAAGATTATCATCTTTTATTTAAATTGTAAATTAGTTGGCAGAATGCATCACATATCTGATGGACTCTGCTTCAATGAAATTCTTTCTTTTGGCTTAGGAGGAAAGTGATGTGACTTTATATTGGTATTATGCTATAATTCGGTCTCAACTTGCCACAATTGAAAGGTGGAAAAAAATGGGTTTGGAAAGGTGAAGATTTTGTTGTTCTGGATAGTTTACTTGTTGTTTTCTTTTGATTAATCCAACATTTAAACCTGCAGACTCATGCTGTGGCAAAAGACCTTCTCAAGTATCACTCTCAGACTCTTGGCTTGGTTATTGGTGGTGCAGCAAGAAGAGGAGAAGCGGAACGCCTTGTTAAAGGGGTAAATTTACTAGTGGCAACCCCTGGTCGACTTCTTGATCATCTTCAAAATACAAAGGGATTTATCTATAAGAATTTAAAGGTAACTTGTATAAAGCTTTAACCTTGTTATAGATGATGATTTACTCATTTTCCTTTCAAACCAATACCATGGGTTGAATAGCTTATGACTATATTAGATGTTTAATAATTGCCAGTATAAGACTTATGTAGAAATCTTATCAATAAATGTTCCTGCCAGTAGTAAAATTAGTTGCTTGAGAGCATTACGTAATTGTTAAATAACCTTTCAAACTTGCAGTGCCTTACAATTGATGAAGCAGACAGGATATTGGAGGCAAATTTTGAGGAAGAAATGAAGCAAATTATCAAGCTTCTACCAAAGGTAAATTATGTTTCGGTAATGATGTTGGTCTGCATGTATGATTTTTTATTCAGAAGTAAAAAAGATATGCTCATAACACAAAGGAATATGTGAAACAATGTATGTTAACTATCCTGATCCACTGTGTTTTCCATCAGTATTAGTAGCTGCACTTTGTAGTAAGTTGCTAAGATGCTCTTATAGTATTTGGTGTGTTTGCATTAAATGTCTTATCAATGACTTTTTGTTTTCAATGCTAACTGAACGGCAATTTTTTTTTCTTAATTATAAGTCCTTAGCTAAAACTTGAGTTCGTATGCTGATGTATGATAATATTCAGTGACATGGTTGTGTTCAGTGAGCTATACTCCTGTTTGTGGTTGCAATGACAATTTAGATTTCTTTTTGGCAATATCTAATGCTTTTTAGCTGATGAGTTCACTAATCAATGTGCAGGCTAGGCAAACTGCTTTATTTTCAGCTACCCAAACTAAAAAGGTATCTTTCTCAAGGCATCACATTTTGATGTTGGCTCAGTCTACTCATGTTTTTCCTTGCCTTTTCTCTTTAATCAGAATTTCAATGATTAAGATTGTAACACAATTTCAGCTCTTTTTTTTTCTTCCTTTTATTTTATAGTGAAATTCAGTATTTTTTTTCTCTTCTGGTTGATCTAACTGACGTTGGATTTCCATCTCAGGTGGAGGACCTTGCTCGGTTGTCATTTCAGACAACTCCTGTATATATTGATGTGGATGATGGTAGAACGAAGGTAGACATGCTGTTGCTTCCAAGTCTAATTGTTTTCATACATATAAACATATGTATAAGCAAGAACAAGCTCTCTGCTTTAAACCTAACAAGATGTCTGCTATTGTAGGTCACAAATGAAGGTCTGCAGCAAGGCTATTGTGTAGTGCCAAGTGCCAAGAGATTTATCCTTTTGTACTCCTTTTTGAAGAGAAATTTGTCAAAGAAAGTGATGGTCTTCTTCTCTTCATGTAACTCGGTCAAGTTTCATGCTGACCTTCTCAGATACATTCAGGTGGAATGCTTTGATATCCATGGAAAACAAAAGCAACAGAAAAGAACCTCTACCTTTTTTGATTTCTGCAAAGCAGAGAAAGGCATCTTGCTTTGTACTGATGTTGCGGCTCGTGGACTTGATATTCCTGCT